ATATATATATATATATATATATATATATATATATATATATATATATATATATATATAAATATATATATATGTTGCAGGGAAGGTATCGAACCCTTATCCTAACGTGGACTGTCACTCTGGGGTGTTGCTGCATGCATTGGGGCTGCAGCACGAGCGCTTCTATACCGTTCTCTTTGGGGTCTCCAGGTCCATTGGTATTGCTTCGCAGTTCGGTACGTGCTGCTCCTGCTGCTGCTGCTCCTGCTGCTGTTGTTGTTGTTGCTGCTGGTGGTGGTGGTGGTGCTGCTGCTGCTGGTGGTGGTGGTGGTGATGCTGCTGCTGGTGGTGGTGGTGATGGTGGTGATGGTGGTGGTAGTGGTGCTGGTGGTGGTAGTGGTGGTGGTGGTTGCGGTTGTGGTGGTGCTGCTGCTGCTATTCGTGCTGCTGCTGTTCTTTATAGTGCTGCAGCTGATTCTATTTGTGCTGCTGCTGTTTGTTGTTGTTGCTGTTTTTGTTGCTGCTGCTGCGGTTGCTGTTGCTGTTGCTGTTGCTGCTGTAGCGTTGTGGCCTCTGGCTTTCTGTTGGTGTTGCGTGCTGTCTGCTTCTGCTGCTGCTGCTTCTTGCTGCTGCTGCTGCTGCTGCTGCTGCTGCGGTGGCCTCTGCTGCTGCGCTGCAGCAACTCAGTGTTGCTGCTGCTGTTTCGGGTGTATGTACACTGCAGTGTGGGCCCGTGCCCTCGGCCTCCCCATAGAACGCCCCAAATCGATAACCCTCAGCTGCCTCGAGGAGATGTGTCAGAGCCACACCGCATAGATAAACTCAATCAGGGTTTAGGGTTTAGGGTTTAGGGTTTAGGGTTTAGGGTTTGGGGTTTATAGGGCTTGGGGTCTAGGGGCCCCCCCGTCCTCGTTGGCTGCTCAGGCGGTGTGCATGGGGGCCCCCCCCTGGCACTGCTAGGGGCCCCCAGGGTACTGGGGGGGCCCCCACGGCATTGTTAGGGGCCCCCATAGCACTGTTGGGGGCCCCCCTAGCACTGCTGTGGGCCCCGGTAGCAGTGTTGGGGGCCCCGATTGTATTGTTAGGGTCCCCACTGCAGTGGTGGGGGCCCCTGTGTTCCTAGATGTAAGGGGGCCCCCTGGGGGGCCCCTAAAGTGTTTGAGTTGTTTGTCGTTCGCTAGGACTGGGGGTGGGGGCAGCAGGGCCCCTTGGGGGCAGAGAGCAGCGCTGCAGCGGGTACCAGCTTACGCAGTGTTTGGGGGCCCTAAGGGGACAGGGGGTAATGGCTAGCTAGCTAGCTAGGTAGATGGCTGGTTAGCTGGTTAGCCTTGCAGCCACCTGTAGCCAGCCACCCA